GTTGTATTCTCTATTAGAAGTTTTATCCCTATAGCTTCCCTAAATAGGAAAAAGATTGTTCTCTTAAAGGTTTTCACAAAAATAGCTTAATAATGTCAAGGGACATATCTGGAAAAAGGAAAGCTTTTTAAGAAATGTTTAAAAAGCAATTTTCTTCACGTATTTTTGTCAGGAGGGGATGTTTCTGATCCTAGGAAGCAAGGGATGGACTCAGAGGATGACAATGATATCTTGATAATTGTAAAAGTGGAAGATCTTTATTGAGTAGGTGAAAGGTTGAGATTTAAGAGAAATTAGTCAGATTGCTACTGTGAAAACTAATGGTCATTTTTCCACCTTGTCCCATAAAATAAGATTCAGGGTCTCACTGAGTGGGATTATAGCTGTATTTTAAAAAGAGCTGTCTTAATTTTATGCCTATAATAACTTCCATAATTATACATGTTGGAATAATCAAGTCTCCTGCTTTGGGGTATAGCCAGTTACTGTAGCAATCAAGAGGTAATTTATTTTTTCATGTATGTTGCTCACAGCAGGGCAGCTCCAGTACACATTCTTGATTTCTAGTTGGTATTGTTAGGGCTGGTTAAGTACAGGCCACTGGATGTGAAGGGCCACAGATTTATTGGAGATGGCAATTCTTTTAAATTCTCATCTCCTCATTATCTGTTACAAGTTCTTAGGAACATATAGGCTTATTGCCTATACTTTACCACGAGACCCGTTTTTGGATACAGCTGTGGGTGAACACATTAGTAATTTAACCAGATCCTTCCTTACTTTCCCTCAGAGTCCACCTTTGGAGAGAATGTGAATTGCACTTTTGAAGATGAGAGCCTAATTTTGAAGAGAACTTGAGGTCGTTTAGGGCAGTTCTCACTTGAGTGGGTAATCTTTACATAATAAACCAGAGTGGTAGTCACTGTTGAAAATAAGCTTTGGGAGCCCCTGGCATAAAACATGCTGTTATTCTAAAGTTCTATAATATTTGTAACACTTAGCTCCTGGATAATTATTATAATTTATATATACCAATAACAGGCATCTGTTACTTTGCTTACAGGTATATGGTACCCTTAAGTGCTACTGTATCCATTTCCTGATCAAAACTATTTCTGTAGGTTTACCATGAATTTTATACCTTCCCCCTCCTTCTAATATTTTTGAAGCATTCAAAAACTAAAACTGGCAATGTCCTTAACACTTGAATATGTGTCTTTTGTTTTGGCTCATTATATCTCTACCTGCAACTTTGTGCTCCTGACACTCTTAAGCTAGTGGTTTAAAAAAAAAATGTTGACTGTAATCTGTAAGTGTACATTTTACATCAGCAATCAGTAATATGTGCATGCACATACATGCCTGAAAAATAAAATAGTCCTTAAGGATGATGGGTATGCTCTGCTGTGTTCTACCATGTGGTCTTCAGTGTGCCTACGGAGGAGGGGGCTGGGGAGAGGGAGCTGTGTTTTACCATGTGGTCTTCAGTGTGCCTATGTGTGGGGGAGTGCTGGGGAGAGGGAGCTGTGTTCCACCATGTGGTCTTCAGTGTGCCTATGGGGGGGGGGGGCGGGGGAGAGGGATCTGTGTTCTACCATGTGGTCTTCAGTGTGCCTATGGAGGGGGGGCTGGGGAAAGAGCTGTGTTCTACCATGTGGTCTTCAGTGTGCCTATGGAGGAGGGGGCTGGGGAGAGGGAGCTGTGTTTTACCATGTGGTCTTCAGTGTGCCTATGTGTGGGGGAGTGCTGGGGAGAGGGAGCTGTGTTCCACCATGTGGTCTTCAGTGTGCCTATGGGGGGGGGGGGCGGGGGAGAGGGATCTGTGTTCTACCATGTGGTCTTCAGTGTGCCTATGGCGGGGGGGCGGGGGAAAGAGCTGTGTTCTACCATGTGGTCTTCAGTGTGCCTATGGGGGGGGGGCTGGGGAGAGGGAGCTGTGTTCTACCATGTGGTCTTCAGTGTGCCTATGGCGGGGGGGCTGGGGAAAGAGCTGTGTTCTACCATGTGGTCTTCAGTGTGCCTATGGGGGGGGGGCTGGGGAGAGGGAGCTGTGTTCTACCATGTGGTCTTCAGTGTGCCTGTGAGGGGAGGGCTGGGGGGAGGAAGCTGATGTGACCCATTGCTATCGATTTCATAAACCCACTCCTACAGTTTAAAAAAGGCCAAAAAACCTTGTTCACAATGCTTGTTTTTTTTTCTCTCACTCTGCTTTCTTAACACAGATTTTATTTTTTACGAGCCTCTCTTTCACTCGTGGCAGTGCTGCCTTTCTACACCTGCTCTATAGTAACCGGACCCATGAAATACTATCAAGAGAATGAGGCCTGTTTGTCATTCTGTTGTGTCAACACAGGATACCCTTTCCTGTACAACCACCACTACCAGATGCTCTGCGCAAGGGAGAGAACTTGGTCCACAGCCCCGAACAGCCCTTGCATTATGCTAATCCAGACCACACTCTTCTTTCTGAAAGATGTCATCCAAAGGGTGGACTTGGCGGGTGGGTCCTCAGCAGCCACCCTCCCCTCAGCCCCCAGCTGACAGGTCTGTCCCTGTAAGTAGCTCAGGAAAGGGTGGGCAGTAGTGTGGACCCGGAACGCATGGAAGGCCTGCTGGGTTCTTCTGAGAAAAAGGTAGTGCAAGATGAGTGCCCCTCCCTGGTGCCCGTGAACAGGGAAACCTGTAACCCAGCCACCAGTGGCAGTCACTGATCAGTCTCTGGAGAACCAGCCCCGGAATCGGGCTGACACTGGGCAACAGATTAGAGAAACTCAAAGAGCTTGGTTCTTAGGGATAGTGTCTAATCCTCAAACTACTCTGCTGTTGGACTTCCTCTTGTAAAGTTAATTTCCTTTTCCTAGATGTTTAAACTTGGTTTCTTCTTACCTGTTGTTGAAAACAGACTTCTTAGTGTGAATACCTCTGTCCTCTCAACTGACCATCAATGTGTGGAAGCACAAAAACTCCCACAATTATAGAAGCCACAAAACACAGGCTGAATGAACTAACAATGTTACAAGTATGTTGTTGACAGTCTTGTAGCAAAACAAACTCGGGCTCCTAGCCCAGGTGGCCTCAGTCCCCATTTAAGGGCTTCAGTGTTAAGTGATGACATTTACACAAACAGAAGGCTGGACTGGGTGAAGGAAAGACTCTTACCTTGTTACCCTGCAGTGGTGGTAGCAGGACTGTCAGTGTCCTCAGCACTGGCCCCATGGCATGCACCCAAAGACCACCCCCGGGTCACACCCACACATGGGACCAGGCTGCATCCAAGGGGGAATGAGTGGTCAGCTGGTCTGTCAGCCTGACCAGAACTCAAAGCCGACTTCTGATATGTGAAGGAATTATTACCAGGAGCCAGGAACTCAACTAGTGTCCCTGGACACTTTGTTTCTAGTGGGCTTTGTATTAGTAACCATGAACAAGAATTGTACTGACTTACTAAGACAAATCCAGGCTGGAAAAACTGCAGGGAAGGTGGGAAGCTGCTAGAAAGTAAGTGCTTGCTTTCAGTGCAACTCCAGTTTCCTAAAATTTTACCGATTCCGAGAAGCAGGCAGAGGCCAACCCTGCAAAGGTCTGTGTTTTGTTGATGCATGATATAGGAAGAGCTCAGGGACAGGTCATTCAAAACAAACAGGATGGGGGTGGTGGTGACCAGAGGGGCTCAGCCTGCCTGTGCCAGGCCCTCCTCAGTCCTGGTTCGTCTTTCTTGCCATTTTCATGGATAAGAAGGAAGGTCTTTTTTGCATATGGTCTTCATCTTGTACTGTCATAGAGCAGGGCCTATCACTTACTTTCACTTTGTACAGGGCATGCCCTTCTCCATGGGTTTATGGTTTCCAATCCACTTTCTTGAGTGGTTGGTTTGTGCTCCGTCCCTGAACTCTTTGGGGAACTGGAATAGTCTCCATGTGACTGGTGAAGACACTAAGGCTCGGAGCTACTGAAGTGAGTGACTTGCCCAGGGCCTGTATGCTCTCATTCTGGCCTCCGGCTTACATGGAACTGCTTCCTCCCTAGAAACATGGCCTTTGTGGGGGGCATAGCAGAGGGGTTGCTCTGGGAGCAGGGGGCAAATCAGATGCCACAGGGGCCTCAGGCAATGTGGTCGTGGCATCAAAGCTGGCCATTTCTCCAGCCTCTGGGCCCAGTAGAAAGAAGCAAGCCCCATGAACCTATAAAATGGGCTGGACAGAGAAAGTCAGGGAAGGAACAACAAAATAGGCCAGTAGAAATCAGCTGAAATCAAGGAACTATGGGAAGTCCAGGTAAAAACAAGTTACAGGCAAACTAAGTGGGTCCTTGCCCAGTCATACATGAGCTGTGGAGCATCTTGGTGGCCTCTGCCACTTTCTTTCATAAAACCCATTCAGTGGGTTCGCCTTATAACTCAAGTGTTTTTTATTAGGGTAACTACTCACTGAAAGATAAAAGCCCTATTACCTCTTGTTTATAGAGCATCCAAAATAGGATGTTATATGGTATAAGAGGCCTTCAGATGATTTCCAGATGCGTAATTCTACCTGGAGCTCAGACACTGACAATGGCCAGTGACACATAGCAGATTGGGGAAACAGTCTTGCTATACTTTTTAAAGACTAAGAGGCTCTAACAGGCCCACTTAAATATATCTTACAATGAAAATGGTTGCGTTTAGGGGCGCCTGGGTGGCTTAGTCAGTTGAGCGTCTGACTTTCGCTTAGGTCATGATCAAAGCCCCGCGTCGGGCTCTGTGCTGCCAGTTCAGAGCCTGGAGCCTATTTCAGAGTCTGTGTCTTCCTCTCTCTGACCCTCCCCTGCTCACGCTGTCTCTCTCTCTCCTAGAAATAAATAAAAATATTAAAAAAAAAAAAGAAAATGGTTGCGTTGAAATTGATCCCTCAAAAATTAATAAAAAGATCTGTCTAATCATTTAGTTTGAATCATTGATTAGATGTTTAATGCAAACATTTTAAAAGATAAATTGCAAACTAGGAAAAAAATTCCCCTGAAAATATTTAATGTAAATAACTCCTTGAGATGGTGCTTTTTACAAAAGGTTTGTCAGCAAATGCTTTTTTGTTTAGGGAACAGGGCAGCAGGAGGATGGGGACAGGACATCAGAAAATGATATGACTGTTTTCTATTTTGATGAGAGTAACAAGGAATCCCACCTGCCCTGCCCCTGTTCTGCTTTATGTAGAAATTTGTCCAACATAACGCGCAGTGGTCATCAGCGGGAGGTGGCTGAGCCCCAAGTGCCCAGAGAGTCTCTTCAAGCCACTACTTGTGTGCTCCCTTGCTGTGTCCAGAGCCACTAGTCAAGTCCATTAATTCACCTTGTGACTGTATCTTGTCTCTCTTCCTATCTCTTTCAAGGCTTTGGCAGTACAGCCGGAGGACAGCCGGAGGATAGCCGTGGTGAAAGCCAGCACGGGTTCTTACAAACATAACACTGTCAGCTCATGTTGGGTAGACACAGGAAAGCACACAATAAACTAAAGCAGACCCTGTCTCTTCAGAGGGTTTGTGGTGACCTGCAGGGTCGGGGCTGGGTCTGCCCGCAGTTGAGCTTCCAGCACGGGTAGTGTGAGGACCACCCAGGAAAGAGAGGTCCTTCCTTTAGTAAGTCCTGTCAGCATACAGGTCGTATGATCAAGTGGAGGAGGAGAGCCTGCCTTCTTATCCAGTGCAGTGTGGCCTCTGCAGCGAGGAGGATGCCACCACCCAACCCCCACCCCCACATGCCACTCGCCAGCCCACTTGGCAAGGCCCAGCCGGGTTTGCACAAATCACTTGTACGTACCCTCTTGTTGAGAACTGGTGGCAAATTAGTCCATGGGGCTCCATCTGCTACTTACTTAAGTAAATCACTTGGAAAACATAAAACTGGAGTCTGTAGCTCAGTAGAACAATAAAGTGCTTTCGAAGAGGGTAGCTGTTATTTACCAATTGTTTCTCATTTCACCTGAGGCACTGACACCAATGCTATGAGAAGTGATAATGTTTACCACCAGTAAAAATTGTAAAAGCTTGTTTCCACTAAAAAGCCTGCATTTCTAAGTACTGCACAGTACTTTCTCTACTGTTTCCATGTCTTCATGTTACTAGACTTGAACTCACTACTGACTAGGGAAATAGTTTATGCTGGGCTGGGGTGGCATCCGGTGTGTGGAAGACACGAGAACAGAAAAGGAGCGGTTCATAAATATTCCTTAAGGGTTCCACTTGTGAAGGGGAGAGGGGGTTACGGCAAAAAAAGGATTAGGCCCCATGCTGAATCCAGATGTGAGCCCCAACAAGTGGAGACACAGATTGGCTTCTGGAAGGATCCGCATATCAACCTAAGAGTTTATTCTGAGTCCACGTGCTTGGTAACTGCTATAACACACTTGCATCTTCCATGGCCTCGATCCACCTGTAAAACAGAGGAGAGGGAACATTTAGGTGTCATGGCTCTGTGACTCTGGTCACAGAACCTTTAAGTGACTAGGTGGACTAGGGTGCCTATTACCTGAGGTCATATTCATATTTGTTGCCTAGCATTTAGCAAAAGGTCTAGAACACAGTGTAAAGATTTGCTGAATCAATGCATGCCTATATGAAGGAATCATGATAATCTTTAAAAAAATCTCATGATCAGGAACAGATAGATAGTTCCATTGCTGTGGCCCAAAGGGATTTGATGGAACAGGATGGCTGGAGCAGAAAGAAGCCAAAGCCCTGGGTAGCAACCTGTTTCCATCCAGAGGGAGAAGCAAGGAGATAGAAATTCGGGTACCTCTGAGCTGAATTGGTATCCTCTGCTTTGAAGCTATAAAATAGGGTTTTCTTGTGGTAGAGATGAAAAATAGGTCCTACTTCACTGCTGCCCTCTTCCTTTTCTGGGGCAATGGTGAAACCAAGCAGGGGCATACTCTCCATGGCCACCGTGTCCTGCAGAGAGCAAAAGGGAAAGCTGATAGTAAACACCACACTACACACAGTCAACTGCTCGGCATTTCCTGTCCCCCTTGGATGTAAGATGCACGATGAGCTCTTCTGGTCAGGCATGCTTTGGTGACTGCAGACTAACCACACACATACCCTTCACCCCTGTGCCTGCCAGGACCAGTCATAAGGAAGGAGAGAAACTTAACATTCTGTGACAGCCTATTTGGGCCCAGGCATTTTCATCTTTACAATATCATGCTGAATCTTTCATAACAATCAGAGAAGGTGTCACTCCTGTTCTAAAGGAAACTGAGGCTCAGGTAAGGTAAATAACTCCCCAAGATTACACACTTTAGTAAGGGGCTGAGCCAGAATTTGGACTCATGACCACCTTCTAACACTGCATTCTTCAGGCTGACTTGATTCGTCAGTGACTCTGTTTTCCAGAAGTACTTTGGATAACATACTCTGTACTCATTCCCCCTGTCCTCATTCACAATGCCACAGAGCACTCAGGGTGTCTGTGCTATAAACTTGCTAAGAATTTCATGACATGGACCCAGAGAATATAAATGGATCTTAAAATCACAGTGCTCAGCAGCAAAAGATTTTTATATATACAGGTATGTTTACACACACACATATTTATGTAAAAATACATGCTCATAAAATACTTTATGAAATGACACAAAAACAAAGATATAATTAGTTAAGCAATTAGTTAAAATATAATTAAGAAGGTTGTGGGAGGAGAAGGAGGGGGAGCTGAGGTTGTGTGTAAAAGGGAATCACCTTTCAGACTGCTGGATCAGAGAAAGCATCTGACAAAATTCAATATCAATTCATGATTTTAAAAAACCCTCAGCAAACTAGGATTAGAAGGGAACTTCCTTAATCTGAGGGCTTCAATAAAATAACTACAGCTAACATCCTACTTAATAGTGGAATACTGAGTGCTTTTCCTCTAAGATTGGGAACAAGGCAAGAGGGTACTCACTCCCACCAATTAAATTCAAAATTGTACTGGAGTTCTTAGCCATTGCATTACAGCAAGAAGAAGAAAGACATAAAGATAAGGAAAAGAAGTCTAGACTATCTATGCTTGCAAAGGACTTGTCTGATCACAAAACAACTACTAGAAACAGTAATTAATTTAGCAAGGTCACAGCATCATCAATTTTTTTCTATCTGTGTACTAGCAGCAAGTAACTAGCAAATAAACTCCATTCAATATAGTATCCAAAAAGAAAAACAACAAAATAGCATCTAAAAAGTAAAAGGAATAAAGTTAACAAAAATACAAGAACAGAAGTATCAGATCTCTGTACTAAAACTCCAAAACATAAAAGGGGAAATTAAAAAAACTAAATACATGAAGATTTATACCATGTTTATAGATTTGAAGATTTAATATTGTTAAGATGCCAAATCTCCCCAAATTGATTCAACAATCCCTGTCATAATCTCGGGTTTTTTGGTAGAAATTGACAAGTTTACATGTTTAAAACACAAAAGACCTAGAATACTCCAAACAATCTTTAAAAAGAACAATGTTGGAGGCTTATGTAACCTGACTTCAAGACTTGCTATAAAGCTCCAGTAATTAGGCACTAAGGCAGTAGCATAAGAATTAGTAAATATTATCAGTGAAACAGAAAACCCAGAGATAGCCCCAAACATATTTAGACATCTGATATTTAATAAAGGGACCAAATAATCCTATAAGGAAAGGAAAATCTTTTAATGAGTAGTGCTAGAATAACTGGATATCCATTTGGGGGAAAAATGAAGCTCAACCCCTATCTCACACCATACTCAATAATTAATTTCAGATAGACCTCGGTGTAAAAGCTGAAACATTAAAGTTGTCAGAAGCAAATACGGGGAACAACCTGGTAACTTGCAGACAAAAGTTTCTTACGATATGAAAAGCAATAGCCATAAAGGAAAACACTGATAAATTTGGTTTCATTTAAGTTAAAAATTCCTGTTCATCAAAACAACAGGACAAATTCATTCATTAAGAAAATACACAGGCAAGCCACAGACAGGGAGAGACTACTCACAAAACATTTATATGAAAAAAAGACTGGTATCCAAGATATGTAAAGAACTGTAAGTCAGTAATAAGACACCCTACTTAAAAAACTGGTAAGGAATCTGAACAGACACTTCTCAAAGGGAAATCTATAAATAGCCAATAAGAACATTAAAAATATCTTTAGTCACTAGGGAAATTTAAACTAAAACCACTCTGAGATACTAGTAAATTGAAGATGGACAATATCAAAGACGACAAAGGTGTGGAGCAACTATAACTCTCACATTTACATACTTTGTTGAGGGGGATATAAAATGGTAGATCATTTTGCAAAAGGTCTGTCATTTCTGATAAACCAAGCCTATACCTTACCTTCCTATGATCTAGAAATTCTGATCGTGGGTGTCTACCGAAGCGAAATTTAAAAAAAAAAAAAAAAAAAAAAAACTTTTCACATAAAAACCCGTACACAAAAGTTTAAAGTGGCTTTATTTGTTATCACCTAAAACTGGAAACGGGTACTGCAGTAGAGACAGTGAAAAGGGGTTATTGGTTTTATCAAACATTTTCTCTTTGGTGGAATTTGAGAGCTTAGTGCTATCACTGGCATGACCTTATCAAGAAATTGTACAAGTTCTTCTCTGTGGAAAGAACTACTTTGGAAGCATACTTAAAATCCATCTATCAACTTAGGGGGGCGCCTGGGTGGCTCAGTTGGTTAAGCACCTGACTCTTGATTTCAGCTCAGGTCATGATATTGAGGTTTGTGAGATCAAGCCCTGCATCAGGCTCTGTGCTGACAGCACAGAGCCCACTTGGGGTTCTCTCTTTCCCTTTCTTGCTGTCCCTTCCCTGCTCCACACCCCTCAAAATTAATAAATAAACATGAAGAAAAAATAAAATAAACTTAGGGTGTCACTTCCATGACAGCTGTTGCTCAGGACCTAGAGACTTTGGGTCTTCCAGTCTCAGACAGGACTCACCTCTGTTTGCTGGTTACTTAATCATCACTGGCCCTGTTCACCTGTCTAAGCCAGTGTTTCCTCCCAAAGAGTGTTCCACGGGATGGGAGAGTTCCACAAGATGCTCCACAAGGAAGGGCCTGTGGTCAGGCCAGCTTGGGAAATCTCATCTCAGACCCACAGCTCACCTTGGTACGTTAGAGATTCTGAGAAGTACTCCTAGGAGGCAGTCCTGCTAACTGCCTACTCAAGGTTCCCTCAAAACCCAGTTTTTAGAGAACTCCTGTGAGTGTCCTTTCCCAATACCCATTTTGGAAGATGCTCTGGGCTGCAGGTGGGCATTATATCACATTTCAATTTGTTCTGGAAAGAGCACAATTCTCAGCTCAAAAATTCTCCTTTGCTCCTCTATGGACATGTCAGCTAGCACTGAGCTCACACAGGGGTTGGTCCCCCCTCTGTCTGTCTTTCTGTGTCCCTCCTAGCCTCTGGGATTTCCTGAGGAAGGAGCAGGCTGCAACCCTCACAGCTGCAGGTCTTCTGTGAGAGAAGCTTTATGCCCTGAAACAGGAAGTGCCCTCTGCACGCTGGTCAGCATCGGAGATTCAGGGAGAAGGGCCAGCCAGCCCTGTGCTGATGCGAATATCCTCCTGGGGTAAAGAACACACCCTCTGCAGCAAAACACATTCAAATCCCATTTTCTTTCTTGCCTTTTTTTTTTTTTTTTAATTTGTTCAATTATTTTTGAGAGAGTGAGAGAAGAGAAAAAGAGAACACAGAAGGAGCAGAGAAAGAAAGGGGGGGGGGAGAGAGAGAGAGAGAGAGAGAGAGAGAGAGAGAGAGAGAGAGAATCCCAAGCAGGCTCTGTGCTGTCAGTGCAGAGCCTGATGTGGGGCTCAGTCCCACGAACTGTGAGGTCATGACCTGAGCCAAAACCTAGAGCCAGACTTAACTCACTGTGCCACCTAGGTGCCCCTAAGACCCATTTTCAAAGTGGGTTTAGCCCATAGAAGCCACCAGATGGTGGGGCCTGGACATGGAAATCTTCCAAACTATCCTACAGATTCAGCCTGGGTCGAGACCAGACAGCTCCCTGCTGTATAACCAGAGCCCATGTCTGTCTACTCTGAAAGCAGGCTTCACTTCCAAGGCCCTCTCGTGTACCTTTTAGAAGACATAAAGGTAAGATGATCTATAAAAATAGAAACTTAAGTTTTATTTGTACAAGTGTTACCATGAACCAATGTAGCTCCCTGATAAAAGAAATGCACAGAGCAAAAGTGTGGTAGCTTCCTGTAAGCTGTTGAATTCTGTCCCAAACTGAAGTGGAGAGCAGAAAGCAGCCTGCTCTAAGAGAGTGCCTGGCTTGTGCTGGATGCTGGGCAGTGACATTCAACTGCTTGGGTGCACAGGTCTGCAGGCTGTACTGCTTTATCTTACTCCTTATTCAGGAGCGGTCAATTCTTTAGATTTGGAACCAACACATGGTTGTGTATCCACAGCCGCACTCAGCACATGGTATTGCTCAACACAGACTTGAATGACATGGGGACTGGAACCAGCATCCTAGCCTCACACGGCCCTGCAGGTGACAGGGTGCTATGCATGCCCAGTTGGACACTCTGAGGCATGAGCTTAACCTGGGGGTCTTCACAGATGAGAGAAAGCACGAACCACCAATACCTCACTGGCCATGTAGGTGTAGAGCACCTTGCCTTTGATGACGAACCAGAGCTTCTTCCAGTGCCTCTTGCCTTTCTTGCACCGGCTGAGATAGCCACTGATGGCAGAGCCCTCTCCGGAGGCAGCCACCTGACAGAAGGAAGGCAGAGCGGTCAGGACCTCAGGTGGTAGGCATGCTTCAGACAGAGCTAAAGTGACACTGCAGACTGGCTGACAGTGTTTATACTGCTTTGAAACCTGAGACTTGGATGAGATCTCAGGATACATCCAGTACCTCAAAAGCAGCAAAACAGTACCAGGGATTTAGACAGGATTTACTGAATGCACTCAGGAAACACAAGAGTCAAAAACAGGCTTCAGGAGTGCTATCCCCAAGGGCTGTTTCAGATTCTTGGCTCCCTCTGCCCAACTCCCAAGCCCCCAAAACGTGGAACTGCAGATATTTGGGGAAAGGTTCTTCCTTCTAAAATTGGATCTTACAAGAATTAATACCTATTCTTCTTAAACAAGTCCAAAAAACAAAAAAGGAAGGAAAACTCCCAAATTCCTTCTATGAGGCCAGCATTACCCTGACACCAAAACCAGATAAAGACACCACTGAAAAAGAGAACTACTGGCCAAAAATCTCTGATGAACATGGATGCAAAAATCCTCAACAAAATACTAGCAAACCGAATCCAACAATACATTAAAAAAAAATCATTCGCCATGATCAAGTGGGATTTATTCCTGTGTTGTAAGGGTGGTTCAGCATTTGCAAATCAATCACCATGATATACCACATGAACATAAGAAAGGATAAGAACCACATGACGAGTTCAATAGGTGGAGAAAAAGCATCTGACATAATAAAACCCTCAACATGAGGTTCATGATAAAAACCCTCAACAAAGTAGGTGTAGAGGGTACATTCCTTCATAAAGATCATATGAAAAACACACAGCTATTATCATCCTAAATAGGGAAAACAGAGATTTTCCTCTGCCGTCAAGAAAAAGACAGGGATGTCCACTCCCACTACTATATTTCAACATAGTACAAGAAGTCCTAGCCACAGCAATCAGATAACAAAAAGAAATAAAAGGGATCCCAACTGGGGTGCTTGGCTGGTTCAGTCAGTGGAGTATGAGACTCTTTTTTTTTTTTTAAATATTTTTTATTTATTTCTAGGAGAGAGAGAGACAGCGTGAGGAGGGGAGGGTCAGAGAGACAGGGAGTCACACACTGAAACAGGCTCCAGGCTCTGAGCTGGCAGTCAGCACAGAGCCCGACGCGGGGCACGAACTCACGAACCGCGAGATCATGACCTAAGCGAAAGTCGGACGCCTAACCGACTAAGCCACCCAGGCACCCCTGGAGTATGAGACTCTTAATCTCAGGATCATGAGTTCAAGAGTCATATTCAGTATAGAGATTACTTAAAAAAAAAAAAGTCATCCAAATTGGAAAGGAAGAAGTAAAACTTTCATTATTTGCAGATGACATGATAAAGACTCCACCAAAAACCTGCTAGAAATGATAAAATGAATTCAGTAAAATTGCAGGATATAAAAATCATTGTATAGAAATCTGTTGAATGAGAAATTAAGGAATCTCATTTACAATTTACTATTGTATGAAAAAGAATAATATACCTAGGAAACCAAAGAGATTAAAGACCTGTACTCTGAAAACTATAGAATACTGATAAAAGAAATTGAAGAAGACAAAGAAATAGAAGGCATTCCATGCTCATGGATTGGAAGAATAAACATTGTTAAAATGTCTATTACCCAAAGCAATCTACACATTTCATGCAATCCCTATCAAAATACCACCAACATTTTTCATAGACTTAGAACAAACAATCCTAAAATTTGTATGGAACCACAAAAGTCCCCAAAGAGCCAAAGCACTTTTGAAAAGCAAAGCTTGAGGCATCACAATTCCAGACTTTGAGTTATATTGTAAAGCTGTAGTCATCAAAAAAGTATGGTGCCAGGACAAAAACAGACACATAGATCAACAGAACAAAACAGAAAATGCAGAAATGAACCCACAATTATATGGTCAATTAATCTTTGACAAAGCAGGAAAGAATATCCAATAGGATAAAGACTTTTTCTGTCAGCAAATAGTGTTGGGAAAACTGGATGGCGACATGCAAAAGAATGAAACTAGACCACTTTCTTACACCACACACAAAAATAATTCAAAATGGATAAAAGACTGAAATGTGAGACAGGAAACCATCAAAATCCTAGAGGAGAACATAGGCAATAATTTCTTTGACATTGGCCATAGTAACTTCTTTCTAGATATGTCTCCTGAGGCAAGGGAAACAACAGCAAAAATAAAGTATTGGAATTACATCAAAATAAAAAGCTTCTGCACAGCAAAGGAAACAATCAACAAAACTAAAATACAGCCTACTGAATGGGAGAAGATATTTCAAATGACATATGCAATAAAGGGTATTCAAAATATATAAAGAATTTATAAAAACCAACACCCAAAAAACAAATAATCCAATTAAAAATGGGCAGAAAACGTGAACAGACATTTCTCCAAAAAAGACATACATGTGGCCAACAAACGTCTGAAAAGATGTTCATCATCACTTACCATCAGGGAAATGCAAAACAAAACTATAATGAGCTATCATCACACACCTGTCAGAATAGCTAAAATCAACAACACAAGTAACAACAGGTGTTGGCAAGGATGTGCAGAAAGGGGAACCCTTGTGCACTGTTGGTGGGAATGCAAACTGGTGCAGCCACTCTGAAAAACAATGCGGGTTCCTCAAAAAGTTAAAAACAGAACTATCCCAGCATCTAGCAATTACACTAGACAAATGGATAAAAAAGTGGTATACACATAAAATGGAATATTACCCAGCCATGAAAAAGAATGAAAATCTTGCCATTTGCAACAACATAGATGGAGCTTGAGAGTATTATCCTAAGTGAAATAAGTCAGAGAAAGACAAATACCATATGATTTCACTCATATGTGGAATTTAAGAAACAAAACAAATGAGCAAAGGTAAAAAAAAAGAGATAAACCCAGAAATAGACTCTCAACTACATAGAACAAACTGATGGTTACTGGAAGGGACGTGGGTAGGGGTATAGAGGAGATGGGTGATGGAGATTAGAAGGGCATTTGTCCATAATGAGCCTCAGGTGTTGTATGCTAAGTGTTGAATCACTATATTGCTATATTGTAAACCTGAAACTAACATTATGCTGTATGTTAACTGGAATTTAAAAGAAAAACTTGAAAAAGACCCACACAGACATGTTCAAAAAAACTGATTCTTATACTTTTATATCTCTTATCCATCTTAAGGATGGATCCTCTTGGTTTACTTAAAACATTTTATAACCTGCCTAATGGGGATGTTAACTCTCATTATTAGAAGTAGTACTTGTCTGTTGCACAGTCTTTGTGTGGAGGTTTAGAACACAGGTGTAGGGTAAACCAATCTGGGGTTCCAGGCCAGGTTCTCCCAGTTATTTGATAGGCAATGTAGGCAATTAATTCTTCTAAGTCTCAGTTTCCCTACAATTAAAAGTGGGATTAAATGACACAAGACAGGTGCCTGACAGTTGTAGTGCCTGACCTAGAGGAACTGCTCATACATACGAACCTTACTATTGAAGAAAGAAGGCCAGATTTGGAAATAATTTAATCTGACTTTCCCGTTTTACAGATGGGGAAACAAGAGTCCTGGAAGAATGGAGGTATCTATCAAAGGTTAAATCCCTACTTAGTTGAAGAGAAGGTAAGCACTTGGATCTCTTGGCAAATACTCTGAAGGCCGATGAACTTTACTGAGGGGAAAGGAGGCCACCACCAGCCTGGGCTGTTTTGAGAAGTACCAGGAAAGGAGCCCATCTCCACCACAGGTTCCAGGACTCTTAGAACCAGACACGGGCTTTCTCTCCCCACACCTGCCCTGCTGGGGCAGCTCACAGAGTGAGAAAGGCCGAGTGGATAGAGCATGTCAGGGGAAACTTATTCTGCGACCTCCCTTTCTGGCAGATGCTTGGGAGGCAGCATTTCTGCAGACATTCTCCTGGGGAGCGGGACTTGCTGCTGGGATGGAGTTCCAGGGGGGAAGGAGGCAGGGCAGTGGAGGGGCAGGCTCCGGCACCAGCATCAGAGCTGCTGGACTCTGGAAGGCTAAGAGCAGTGGTTCTCAAACTCTGTGCCCATGGAACACTCCGGTTCTGTGAGCCACCACAGCAGGAGTGAGAGGTGATCTTTTCTAATCAGTGGAAAGGGATGATTTACAACCACACAATGTAAAATGTGTGAGATCTGTATGTGTCAGCAAATGTGGAATGACAGTAAGAGAAATGAAGTGTGAAAAATGTACAGAAGATTCAGTACAATTTGTTATATTTTGGGTAAAAAAAGAGGATCTATGAATGTACATCTTTTATTATGTATATGCATTAAAATTTCTGGAAGGATCCATAAAAAAACTTGATGGTGGTTACTTCTGGGGGTGGTGGGACTGGAGAAGTTCAGGGAGGGAGAGAAAAACTTATGTTCCATCAGGTATTCCTGTGTGTTGTTTTGAAAAATTGTTTTTACCATGTATGTGTTATTCCCAAGATTTTTAATATGCAAAGGAATTAAGGTAATGAATAGAACGGTACCTCGTTAAATATTTCAGACCCTAACACTTTTTAAAACCCTTGCCATATGCTACTCAATAATGAATATTAATGCAAAAACATGGAAACAGCTGATCATACTCTTTTGACAGCTGGTATATTCATGGACACACATTTGTGGTTGTGATCAGAATATAAACATAGAATCTGGCCCTCCTTATGGGAGGGACTTGAGTTTAACCAATGCCGAGGCTTCCTGCACAGAGTCCCACACCCTCCAAGGAGGCTCAGCACCTGAGGCCCTTTGGGACCTGCAGGCTGAGGGGCAGCATAGTTCAGAGGGCTTGCTGGGGAGGGCGAAGCCAGGACTGTAGCTGTTTTAGTCAGAAGAGCCCCAGTGATCTGTGCACCACTGCTGGGGACCTGACCTGGTCCAGGCTATGGGACAGGAAAGAAAGTAAAGAGAAAAAAAGAGAGACTTGGAGGGAAGAAGGGGAGAGAGGGATAGGGAAGGCTTCTAGCACCATCCACAACCATTTTGGGTCCTGCCTTCTGCCACCAAGCAGGCATGTTCTCAGTCACGCCCAGGAGACAGGCCCTGTTAGTGGTGAGTCACTTCTTGTAGCTAGAGTGTCTCAATTCGGGATCAGTTCGGGATTCTTTTTGTCCTGTAAAGTTCAGTCAGCCTGGGGCGGGTTCTGAGCCTGTCTGAGGAAGGCCACGAACCTTCTAAATCCCTTGCCTCCCACACAGGCAGCCTTACCTCGGTCAGGGCTGAAGGAACTTTCTTCTGCTTCCTGAAGGTCGAGGGGTTGATGCTGTGGAAGACGGACGAAAAGGCACTGCTCGAGAAGCGGGGGGAGGACAGGGGAAAGCTCATGCTCACGGGCCGCTCTGTAACCAAGACAAGCCACAGGGGAAGGGAGGTGAGGATCGGTGCCGACAGGCACGCATCTTGATTTGGAATGCCAATTCCTGTAAAATTAGAGCTCCTGGTCCCTCCTGAAATGGGGATCAGCCTCATGATGGAGGTCAGGTGTGACCAGAAGGACAGGCACTCTATCTACTGACACAAAGGCCATGGGAGCCAAGAAGGAAGGGTTTTCCTGTGTGCTGGCTATCCTTTCTTCACCTGGGCTGTCCTCTGTGATGGCCTCGGGGGCTCCAGGGAGGAGAAATCTTTGGTTTTGGGCCCAGGATACACTTGCTGTCCCTCTGGCCTGACTGCGTGGGCAAAGCCTGTACCCTGAGCAGTCTCTCAAGGGCCAGCTCAGCTTCCTTGGGTTCCTTTATCAATCACAGAGCCCTCAGAGCTTCCCTGATCCACAACTCCTCTGTTACCCATCTTACAATCCTTATCCTGAAAAGGTCCCAGAGAACACAGGCCTATAGGACATTTTCAAAAAGAGGTCCGCCATGGCAAAGTAACCATGAGGCACCACGCCTACTGTCCCCTTCACGGAGATGCACTGGCCCAGCATCTCCCAAGCTTAGCTGCCCGCAGAGCACCTCCTCTGGCAGTGCCCACTGATTTCCTGTGGGACCAGTATTTTGGGAAATGGTGCCCCAGGTATGTTTTAAACCCCTATTTCTTCCTCCAGGGCTGCTTTTATTCTGAGCCTCCCCAGGAAAGTAGTTTCAGGCACCAACCACGGGCCGGCCGGAAGCCACGTGGGCCACCTGGAAGAACGGTGATGGTGGTCCCCAGGTTACCTCTCATCATGCCTGGGACATCCCCGCCCCTCTTCTTCAGCTCCCCATAGCAGCCATCACAGACCTTGGCCATCCGGTCCTTGAGGTACTTCAAGGGGTACTTGTTTCTCGAACAGTTCCGGCACACAATCTGCAGGCCCGGACAGGGACACATTGGAATGGTTCTCACCCTCTGCCTGTGCAGAGGGCCAGCATGCCCTCCCCTCTGCCAGCACCCCCTACCTCTCCAGGGACCCCATGTTCTGAGCACAGAACTGAGTCAGGTCCTCATGCTTTCTATCGCAGAAGCATAGAGTTTCTGTGCAAGTGTTTATCAGTTTTTCTGATAAACTAAACCCTTAACCAGGACTTGATACTTTTTCTCCAGGGACAATAACCACGTGTGCTATGGTTTTCTTTTGGGAGCATTGTGGTATAGTGGAATGATATTTGGAGTCGTGGCTTGAGACTATCAGTAAAACGGGCATTAACAATCTCTACCCCACAGGATTGGTGTGAAAACACCCTTCTCTGGGCCTGACAGTCAGTAGCTGCTGGATGTTCCTGACATCCCACCCCACATGACCGTATGTACACACTCACCCAGATGAGGTGACTCACCTTGCCACAGGCGTGGCAGTGATGACGCCTCAGGGTGAGGGAGAAGTCACAGCCACAGTTCATGCACATCATAACATGTGTGACAGGCACCAGGGTGGGGGGCCTCTCCCCCAAGCTGACCCCCAGCCTTTCCCGTATCTGGAACAAAGAAATCAGGTGAGCAGTGTGGTCAGGAGATGGCTACATGAGTGCCCTCTTTCCTGTACAGGGTGTATATGTGTGGGGTGGATTCTAATTCTACACCCCTCTCTACCCCAAGGCAGCCTCCAAGATACTAGCCTTGGGTCAGAAACAGCCAACAGGAAGTGCTGTGTTTGGGCTGCACAGTGACTGCCTCGCAATGCGGGAGTGTGGTGGGAGGGGAGGGAGAAGGAGGAGCCTGATGGAAGGAGCTGAGAGTCCTCCTGGGTGTACGGGTGCCCAGGGAAACCCAGGGCTGGGAGGCTGGCATCAGCTGGGCTTCAGGGCCATCCACTCACCTCCACGCTGTGGTGAAAGGCAGCCAGGGCCTGGGCCTTGTAATCCTCAGGGAGGGCTCTGCTCAGACAGCTGTGCCATTCGTCTCGCTCAGCACAGGAGCTATGGGCACAAGCTGGCGTGAACAAGGCATGCAGGTGTACACGGCAGCTCTGCCTCAGTTTCTCTGTGTGGATCAACTCCCCCCCACCTTTCCCCTGGCTGTGCCTGACAGTGTGAATACCACCAAGCACTGGCCCCTGCCAGATCAGCCTATGGTCATACTCAGCACCTCCACTGACTAGCAGGGCGGCCAGGATACACTAGCTGTCCTCCGGGCCTGCTTCTTTACCTGTAAACGGCACTGTCAACACTATCCCTCTAACTCCTAGCGCTGTTTGGGGAAGAATTGATATGTGGGACATGGATGGACTTTGTTAATTGCAACGCACTGTGCAGAAGCAAAGGCATAAGGGGGGTTGCAGAGGGTCCTACACTTGAGAGGGACAAAGGACAGGGGCTGAGGGCTGTGTACATGGGGAGGCGAGGGTTAGGTGAAGTCGGCAAATATCAACATCCTCCTCTCTCCCCCTTCCTCCTCATTTTCCCACATAGCTTCTCTGACCACCCCCCACTTCACCCAACAAGATGACTTCCCAAATCCCTATTCTGCACCCTGCCCTTCAAGGTTTCCTGAGTGTTGAGCGCTGCCCCAAGGCAGAGTGGTGGAAATTCTCCCAGGACCCACTAGGTGTCGCTCCCACCCTGTGTAAGTATGTGGCCTGCTCTGGGAAACCCAGGATGAGGGATCCCTTTGGCCTGGCAGGGAGAGACAGGGGGTGGGGGTGGGTAGGGTGGGATGGACAGCCAGATGCCATGTCCCTGAAGAGAGATGTATGGGTCCCCCTGTCCTCTGGAAGCTTTGGCATGAAGTATCTGGGTGAGCAGGAAGGTGACCTGTCAGTGACAGTGGCTCCTTGAGACCACCGTCCAAAGGGCAGCGTCCTTGCCTAGCAGAGACAGGTGGCTCCACCTGAAGGGCTGAGCGTGGCCTGTCACCCCCCATACTTCTCAGCTGGACAAACAGAACCTATACTCTGGGCCTTCTCAGACCCCTGACTTCACCTAGAGGTGAGGAGAAAAGATGCCATGGACCCTACCTAGCCATCACCTCCTCTAGGAAGCCTTCCTTCACTTCCCCAGATGGGTGGTCACTCCTTGGAATTTTCAAGGTTTCTTGTACACACTCAGGCAGTAGACAGTAGTGGAAAAGAGCTCTGAGCCATACAGTCCTGCATTTGAGCCTCAGTTCCTCCTCCATGGGCAAGTGAGCCCTCTCAACTCCCCAAGCATGGGAGAGGCCTCAAGCCCCACATCCAAGGGTGGTGATGGGGTCTGAGGAGGTGCCTGAGACCCAGCAGGTACCCAGTGCATGCTACCTTTGTCTTTGACACTCTGCTCTACATTATAACTGGTAAATAACTCTCTCACCCTTAATGTGGGCTTCCCCCGAGCAAATCAAGGTTTAAATCGTGTGTCCTCAGCACAGGACCTGGCACTAACGAGTGGTTAATAAATGCTGAATGAGCAAATGCATCTGCACGAGAACATGATGTGCACCACCTCACACAGAGGGCACTGCTGCCCCCACCCGGGGTCCCACACCAGCTGCGAGGGGAGACACCCCCCCTTGGCAACCCTGTCCCAGCTCCCACAGTGCCCACAGTGGCCCCAGAAGGAGCTACACCTCCTTGGTTTCTGAGCCCAGAGAGCTGGAGCCTGCCTTGCCCTGAAAGAGGGAGGGAGGAACTCTTTTGCTGCCTAGAGTGAGCGAGGCAGTGTCCCTGGCAGCCTGAATGCCTGGAGAAAACACAGACCCTGCTGAGAGAAAGGCCACACCCCCAAACCAGGGAAAGGCAAATGATGAATGCTCACTCATTATGTTTTTCTCTCAGTCTCTGGACATAAAAGCCTAAAAGCAGCCCACTTTATGAACTAAGGTGCATGATGCATTTTTTACTCACCTTAACTTCCTGCATTACTGTAAAGACCCAATCAATAATCCATAAACGTGAGATATTGTTATCATATTTTAAAGAATAGGCCCTAGAAAATAAGTCCTTTGACCCAAAATAATACCAAAATAGAAATGACTCATTCAGCTTGTTATTCCAAAGTTTAACACTTGTAAAATCCTGTGTTTCTATCGCCCAGACCCTCCCTCTACCCACTTCCCCATACCTGGCAGAGAGAGTGAGGCAGAACTGGGAAGTCTCGATCTTTAGGGCATAGGGCACTTTCTCCATCACGGGGCGACTGACCTGGAAAACCAACAGCAGCCCCTCAGGGCAGGGGCAGGGCAGGGGCAGCCACAGACCAGATTCTTCTCTCGGTCCTGGCACCATCCCTCTCTGAGCCTGAGTCTCCTCAGCTGCAAATGGCAGGCTTTTGTTTGATGGTAGAGGCTGTGTGTGTGTGTGTGTGTGTGTGTGTGTGTGTGTGTGTATGTGTGTGTGTGTGTGTGAGGGAAGTGCCAACTACAACTCTGTGGTCTGTGGGCACCCGCCCACCCCTAGGGAAGTGAGTATGTACCCAAAAGGATTGAAAGCAGGGTCTCAAAGAGATGCCTGTATACCACGTTCACAGCAGCATTATTCACAAGAGCCAAAAGGTGGAAGCAACTCAAGTGTCCATCCATGGATGAATGGAAAAACAAAAAAGGTCTATATGTACCATGGAATATCATTAAGCCATAAAAAGGAAGGAAATTCTGACACAGGCTGAAACATGAACGCACCTTGAGGACATCATGCTGAAATGGGCCAGTCACAAAAAGACAAATACTGTATGATTCTACTCATATGAATTATCTAGAGCAAATTCCTAGAGACAGAAAGTAGGATGGTGGGTGCCAGGGGTTGGGGACTGGAGGAATAGGTAGTTCGTGTTTAATGGGGAGTTTCACCTGGGGATGATAAAAAAGCTCTGGAAATGAATGGTGGTGACGGCTGCACAACAGTGTGAGTGTACTTAATGCTGCTAAATTGTATGCTTCAACATGGTTAAATGGGTATATTTTATGTTATGTATATTTTGCCACAATTTTAAAAACTGCCAAACATCCACTTATTTCTTCCCTCCAAGTGTTTCCTTACGCATTTCCCTTTTTTTACGATGCTCTTTTCTCTTCCCCATCTGTCCAAATGTTATCTACCATAAGGGATTCAGCTTCCCTCCTCCGGGAAGTCCTCCTTCCCTCTCTCCTCTCCCTAGACTGCCTACAGCACAACTCTGCTATAACCCACAGTGTAATGCTGTTTCCTTAGGGCTGCCTCTTCCCACTGGTCTGTGGGGTCCTAGAAGCAGGGATGCTGTCCTTCCTCCCCTGCAGTCTCCCTCCACCCACCTAACAGGGCGCTTAACCAAGCATTTACCTTCATGCTGGCCACTGACAATGTGTTCTTCAGCCGGTACTTCCCATCTTTCTGGGGATATGTGTATAGGAGCACATCGCTCATCTGGGGAGAAGGAAAGCCCATCAGACGTGTCTTGGCCCCACAAGGTCATGTGGCATATCTGTCCTGGAGGACCACTGAGCTCTGGGGAGCAGAGGCATCCTGCATTCCCCAGTGAGTCCCCACAGGAGAGCAAAACCACTCTGAGCTAAAATGTGAGCCCCTTCCCTGAAATTCCACTCCTAGGTAGAAATTAAAAGAGGAAATTAATGCAGATGTCTACAAAAAGTCACGTGCAGGAATGTTCACAGAGGCTTTATTCATAATAGCCAAATAGTGGAAATGACCCAAATGTCTACTCAACAGGTGACTGGATCAAAGAACCATGCAGTACTGTGCAGTACTACGTAGCAACCAAAAGGAACTGATGGTACAAAGAACAGCATGGATGAATTTCAAAGACATGCCAGGTGGAAGAAGCCAGACACAGAGGAGTATACACTGCTTCATAACATTTATACAGAGCTCCAGGTGAGGCAAAACTAATCTGTAGTGATGGAAATTAGGCCAGTGGTTGCCTGAACAGGAAGTGGAGGAACATGGGAACTTTCTAGAAACATTCTATATCTTGACCCAGGTGGTGGTTACACAATGATACACATTAGTCAATAGGCAGATATGTACCCTTAAGAGTGATGCATTTTACTCTATAAATGAAGGACAGTCAAGGAAGGGAGAGAGGGAGGAAAAGAGGGAGGAAGCTCTTCAAGGATAGGAGCTAATGTGTCCTGGTCACTGGTGTGCCTCGTGACCACAGTAGGTACTCAATTAATATTTGTTGAATGAACAGTTGAAGCTCCTTGCCCCTGTGCAGGGCAGACTGGAAGAAACATAGTAAAAGTCCTCTCACCTCCTTAGGGGAGAGTGTTTCTGTCTGGCTAAATTTATAGTTTGAAAAGACATGTCAGTCCTTACTCTGCTCTGTAGCAGCTGTGTGACAGTGGACAAGCCATTTCCCTCTGTGAACCTCAGCTTCCTCCCTGCAAAGAAGGGGTCATTGCCACCCCTACCACATTACTGATGGTGAGAGAGAATGACCCCCGTGAGTTCACTGTATGCAGGAGCCGTGTAGACTGGGGCTGTTGCAAAGACTGAACAGGACAAGGCATCTAAGGGACGGAAGCAGAGCAAGAACTCCGGATTAGCATTTCCTCCCCCTGAGGAGAGTCTGCTCAGGGAAGGAACAGATGAGGCTTCCGGCCACCAGCTCTTGAGATACCAATGTCCCAACATCGTGGCAAGAGCAGTGTGGGCCACCTGGCCTGGACACAGAGCTGCTGGGTGGGCTCAGGCAAACCCTTCCTCTCTCTGGACCTCAGTGTCTCTAACCAGAGTTGTAGCAGACCAGGGGTCAGCAAACTTTTTAATAAAGGGCTAGATAGTAAATATTTACGTCTTTGCCAGTCATACAGTCCCTGTCAAAACTTTTCAATTCAGTCATCGTAACAAAAGGATTCACAGACAATCCACTAACAAATACGTGAGACTGTGTTCCTTTATTAACAAAAACAGTTTGGGAGGCTGAGCCCCAAATCAGAGGTGCCTTCAAAGACCCTTCCAGTTCTGCCCTTCTACTAATGACAAGAGCTGCTGTCCTACTGGACACTCACTTTGTGCCAGCTGCTGGGCTAAGCACCCTGATCTCAATTCATGCCCCCAACAACCTCATCAGGCAGGCACTATTATTATCATCCTCAGTTCACAGAGGGAGAAACTGAGGCACAGAGAGCCCAGACAACCTGCTCAAGGTCACAGGGCTTGTAAGTGATGAGTAAATGAATGTGCATCCAGTGTGTTCAGGTGTGGTGTGTTGGGGACGGCCACACAGTGAGTCCTGGCCTCATGGGATAGTGACCAAACCTGGGCACAGAGCTTTGCTCACAAGCCTGCCCATCCTGGGGAACTGGCCTGTGTCACTCATCACAGCAGTCCCTGCCTTTGTGTGGCTACCCCTCAGGTACCTGCTGCCATGGCAACTGCCAGTAGCACCCTGGGGTTTTGTGTGCAGTCAGGACCAGGCTGCCTCCTGATTGTTCACAGTCTTCCTCTTCAAAGCAGGTATTTTATAGTCTGATTTGGAGGAAGGTAGAGGAATTCCTCATGGAGGAGTAAAGGGGAATCTCTCACAATAATGAAGCCCCACCTATAGCCTAGGGCCATGAAGGAACCACTCTGTAGCAATACTAGAACCCCTGCACATTGCACTGGTGGGCAGAGGCCCTGACTTTGTTCCCCAGTTACAATTATTTTATGAAACTGGCACTTATGAGGATGAAAAATTCTTAAGTGTGTTTATCACAGCTCTTCGTGGCTCAGGAACCTGTCTGTCTATCCTCTTCCCGTCTCTCTCTCCAGGGGATATTTATGAAGATTCTATGCTAAGACAGAGCAAAGAAGGGGACCCAGGTTCAGCCTATGGGAGCTATGGCCTCATAATCATGAGGGAATGAGAGAGACCCAGGCCCAGCAAGGAGATGAGTGAGGGAGAGGCCATGATGAAGCCAACTAGATGCTGGAGGGAACATGAGGGAGGGAAGAGGGACAAAGAAACAGGGGGATGGTGTGGGGAAGGACAGCCTTGTGAAGATCAGGACTCTGTGTCTTCCCTGGCAGTCAAGGTCCCTGTCAGAGGCACAAGCAGAGCCTGGCCAAAGGCGGAGGCGAGACCAGGAATGGCTGGGGGACCAAGACTGCGCTCCCTCTGCTCTCACTCCTGCCTCACTCCCTTCCCACAACTGCAGGAGGAGCTATTCCCCCAGGGTAAAGACAAGGGCAAGGGGCTCAGAGAAGTGCCAGAAGCCATGGGCCTCAGAGCCAGTAAATGTCAGAACGGGATGTGAATCCGCTCTTATTTGACTCCAGAGTTCATGCTGCTCATCACCATCCTGGACCTCCCTTCTCCATCACGGAGAAGAAAGGACTGGGGGGACACAGTCATGGGCTCCGACTCTCCACAGGGCTGTGCTGGCGCAGAGGGAGGACCTGTGTCCAGGGGCAACTTTCACAGGGAAAGGAGGAAACTGTTATCAAATTAGCTGCTTCTATGGTCATCATTCAACTCTCCAAACCTCCCAGTGTTGCTACTTTCCTTGTGGGAAACTCGAGGCTCAGACATGTGTGTGATTTGTCTGAGGGTCATAGTGGAGCTACATGTTGGGTCAGGATCTAACCTGCTCACTCTGGCTCGTTACCACATAGATATGCCTAAATTCAAGGGTATAATTTCAAGTATTTAGACTAACACGGAACAAAGGAGAGCTTCCCCCACTGGACTCCGAGATCCACAACAGGGCAGGGGCCACATCTATGCAGCCTAGCACAGAGCTATATAGAATGAATGAATATAACAGTAGACAGTAAATGCCCTGTAACCAGAGGTTTGTAGGCAGAGGTTAAACAAACAAGCAAACAAGCTACCTAAAGAAAGGAACTGAAGCATCTGTGGGGACTTTAAGATCCTTTTGGAACTCAAACTTGAACCATCCACTACTTGGCTCTCAGATCACTTTCAACCCCCCCCCCCCCCCCCCCCCCCCCCCCCCCCCCCCCCCCCCGCCTTCCTCGGGGATCTAATCTCCTCTGGTCTGTGGCCTATCTCCCCCTTGCACTGCAGCACCAACCAGCCAGAGTGAGGGGCTCTCAGGGGAGGTTGAGAAGACTTAACACAGAGAAGAGGGAGAAAGACTCTGAAATGGGTTCTCTTCACACTCTATGAAGAGCAGACAGACCCACTGAGGCTGAGCCAAGGCCACAGGCAGGACCTAGCAATCAAGGCCCACAAACCCTGACAGGTAGCTGCAGATTCTACATTTTCTGTCCAGGGTCAGGATTTCCCTGCTTAGTACCACTAGGTGTCTTTCTAGAATTCAGCCCCCAAGTGACCCCTCTGCAGGCAGGACTCAGGAGTAGAAGGGCTCATCTCTAGGCAAAGACCCACAGAGGTCCTCCAAACATACCCGCTTCTTGTGCTCTATTCTTTGCTTATGCTGTTGCTGTTCCTGTTCCTGAAAAACAACCTTTTTTCCTTCACCTGACAAACTCTACTTATCCTTCCTGCTGGGCCTAACTAGGCACCATTTCTCCAGGAAACAGGTAGTATACTTAGCACAGGGGGCAGCACCAGTGAACATCCAACAGATGTCAGTGCTGCTGAGGCTACTGTCCATCTTTTTATTCTCCTCCCTGCTCCCATGGACCTGAGGTTCTATCCATGGATTCTCATAACTCAGTATTTACATTAGACACTGAAGGTTGAACGTATAGCATGAGACTTTTATCTCTTTGTTTCCAGTGCCAAGCACATAGGAGGTGCTCAGTAAATATCTGAAACAGAGTTCTTAGACACTTACAGCCTGTTTACTATTACTTTGCACACAATTCTAACAAAGTGTAAGAGGCTCTTAGGGGCAGCCTTGACTGATAGTAACAAAAAATGAAAATTAAAATAATAAAGAACAAAGAAAATTATACCCAGCAGGTAGAAGAACTTAAAAAGCAAAATAATTCGGGGCCATAGGATTGGGGCAAATTACTGCTTGTAGCTCAATGGGCCACAGAGGTTGATGGTACCATGCAACAGGGCTCGACATTCCCTGGTATTCCAGATGCTGGCTGTAAATCATCAGAAATGTTACAGTGTACTCTGTCTTGTGCACAGTGGATTAAGTGCCAGACTGGGGTTACAACCCCAGTTCCCTTCTGGGCCTCTGCCACCAACCTGCTGGAAGATCTGGCCAAGGAAACTCCCCCTTCTAGGTCCCAGCTTTCTCATGCATTAGATAAGGCAGTTGAACAGTTATTTCCAGTGTAAGAATTTCTCGGCAACATTAAATTTTGGCAACATTCCATTTAAAATCACTCAAATCATAAATGAGGGAAGGATTGTGGTTGGCAAGGGTTAAGCCCTCAGATCTCTGGAAAGCTCAGCTCTGTAGAATGATCCTCATCCTAAATATTCAGCTCTGTTCTAGCCCCCCCACCCCCCACCCCAGTTGTCTCTGAATAATGGCCCTAGAAAACTGCACAGAATTCAACAGTCCTGGGGCTGGACTAGGGGCCAGGTACTTACCAGGAACAGGTGCCGGGGGCGTCTGCTTTTCCCTGTCACTTTCATCAGTGTCCCCTCCTTCAGAAACTCCTGTGGGGAAAGAAGCAGGCCTGGGGAGTCAAGCTGACCGCTGCTGTCCTCACGAAGAGTCGGCGGGGGGCCCTGAGTCAGAAACTTAAACTTTGGTGCCTCCCAAAGTACCAGAAAACAACTAATGGGTGAATTCCCAGCTTTAGCGAGATGCCCATGTTTGCTTCTTAGGAGAACTCTGCCTTGACTTGTACCAAGCCCCCCGGACACTGTTCTGGTCTCTGAGTGGTCCAGACAGCAATTCTTTCCCTGGTTTGCTGCCATGAGAAGGCCCTCAAACAAAGCCTTTGAAGGTTTGCTAAACAGTTGAAGACCCGTGAACGGTTGCTACAGGGTCATTAATAATGGAGGATGTTTACAATAGATATTTAAATTTACTTAAGATAATAAATTAGATATTTACAAATATTTACTGAACTGATAAGCCAGGGCTAAACCATGAGGTGTATTTTATAGACTCTCAGACCAGTGAGATCCCTAATTTTGAGTAAAATATCCTGAGCATAACATCTGTCATGTCTTTGCCTCTTGTCCTTCATTGACCATAACAGGGAATGAACACATTTTTGACTATTTTTTTTTTTAATTTTTTTTTTAATGTTTTATTTATTTCTAGGAGAGAGAGAGAGAGAGAGAGAGAGAGAGAGAGAGACAGCGTGAGCAGGGGAGGGTCAGAGAGAGAGGGAGTCACAGACTGAAAGAGGCTCCAGGCTCTGAGCTGGCAGTCAGCACAGAGCCCGACGCGGGGCTCGAACCCACGAACCGCGAGATCATGACCTAAGCGAAAGTCGGACGCTTAACCGACTAAGCCACCCAGGCGCCCCCATTTTTGACTATTTTTGAGCTAAGTTTTATGTTTTCCATTTGGAAGCTTAAAAGTGGGTAAATTTGTCTCTGGAAAAATGTTATTTTTAAGATGCTTTGTTGGGGCTCTTGGGAGATGGTTTTCCTGGTTTTCTAGCAATGCTGGGCTAAACTAAAAATACTTGGTGTCTCTTCTTCTCAGAGGTGAAAAGAACCATGGGACATGAACCCAAATGACACTGTTTCTTTAAAGGTCCTGAAAGTGGAAAACCCCGGGGGAGGCAGCCCACTGACCCTGTGAGCCCAGCAGAGCCCTCCCCCAGCCCTCCCCCTCCTCGGGTAAACAACACCTGCAGCCAGGCCTGTCTGGGACCAGCTCAGCTGAACAATGGGTCTTATCAGAGCCTCGCCCGCCTGCCTCCCAGGCCGCCCTCTGTCCCTGCCCAAGGCGTCGGTGGCACTCACCCTTCCTGGCTGGAGGAGATCCCCTTGGCCTCGAACGCTGTGCTCAATGTGGACCAGCTTCTGCAGGTTTTCCTGTGGGAGGAAGTAGGCAATGGGGAAATGGTCAGGACCCCTTTAAGGAGTCTTTTCCCCTCTATTAGGAGTGGCATTGCTTCTACCTCAGAGGAGGAAAAAGGACCTCAGGAGGGGCTTGCCCCAAATCTGACCTTCTGTCAGTGGCAGGACTGGGATGTGAGCCTGGATCTGTAGGCTGCCAGACTTGTAGGCCGCCTGTGCTCAGGTCAGGCCCTAAGGGCCTGTGATCTGACATGGCCATCTTCTGTGTGCCATGGGGAAAGTCGCCCTTGTTGTGCTATCTGATACCCATATTTATCTCTAGGCCATGGCTCCTACTCTCAATCTGTGTCCCCTGAAAGGGGTCACAGGGGTCATATGCCCAAGGTCAGACTGTCTCTCTGGGCTTGCAGCCCAAGGTGGGCCTCTGAGGGAAAGTAATCAAGAAAATATTCCAGTTGGGGAAGAACCAGATCTATGTTCTTTGAAGAAAAAGAAGTGTGCCTGGGAACTCCTTGTTGGTCCCTCACTGGGGTAACCAAAATATGCACTGACATACGTCCCCTCCCTCTGCACAGCACCCCATCATGCTAGAAATAACAAGCACCTAACCCATGGGGTGGGTGCCCCCTGAACCTTATGCACGGTCAGGGTCTAAAGTCAACGATAAGGTGACAACTGTGTGTAGGGAAATTGCCCATGTCCATATTTGGGGGTACAAAATCCTATACATTAGAAATGGGCAATAGTTCCATTTCCACTTGAGACGTAGAATGCTGCAAGAGAACAGTGCCCCCACTTTTTCTCTCACAGCGAGAAAAATATAACATACAGAATCACAACTCTTCTTATATCTATTGGAGAGCTGAAGTAAAAGGCAACCTACCGAACTGAATCCCAGAGACGGACAAGCCCCTTCACAGAGACATGAGACACATGCATTGCTGCAACACACAGGAGGAGGAGGTGGCCAGCATAAAGGAGGATGGGAAGAAAGCAGCTAAAATGTTAATGGATTCTGAAAGGTCAGGTGGGGGCTGATGTGATAGTTTAGAGTAACAGAGAGCCCCAGACACGAGGGAAACTGCAGTCACTTGCAAGCTCTTTTCTAGCAGTTCCCACCAGGTGCTTGCAAGGAAGACTGGGGGCAGGGCAGGGGGGCCTGGCAGTGAAGGCATGCAGGCTGCCACTGGGGGTCTGGCATAAAACCCTGCCGGATTCCCCAGGCCCCTCCCTTGTGCAAAACTCTTGGTCCCTGGGAGAGGCTAGGAACCCACTCCTAGAGGACAGGCAGAATGCCACTCGCTGCTTCTGGGGAAAGGGCAGAAGCAAATGCTCTCTTCCCCAAGAAGAGGGAACGTACCCCTTGGGCCCAGGATGGTGCACGAATACAAAGCGGAAACCTGCTCCAAGACCCGCCAGGGCTCAAAGGCAGTGTGTGGCTACCACACGGAGGGGGCGCCAGGAGCAGAGAAGGCCTGGCTTGCAGGCTCTGCTTGGGACTGAGGCTTGTCCAGGAGAGCAGAGACTTGTGAGCCTAGCAGTGAGTAACAGGAGACAGCAGTCTACCTCTGAGATGGGACAAGAGCATGGAGAGAGGCCTCTTTTGTGGTGTAGGGATTATGAAAAGCTGCGGGTGGAGAAGGACAACGATAAAAACTCTCCAGTATCTCAGGCCCCACAAACACGACCAGGTGATAGCAGCCGCCTTCTGGAGGAGTGTGCAGTCTGTGTCTGGGGTACTCTGGAGGTGACAACAGCAACAACACAACCCAAACCCAGCTCAGTGACCGACTAGACGGACTCAACTCCCACCCCCTACATGAATGACATGGTCAGAAAAGAGCACTCCCACTTCTGGGATAGATACTATTTCCCTCAGTCTCTACAATTCTTCCAACACATAATATCTGGTATCCAATCAAACATTAGGAGAAACACAGAAAGAAAGGAAGTACCCCAACTCATTTTCAGGAAATAAAGCATTCACCCAAACCACCTCTTATTAGAGGTGACACAGATGTTAGAACTATCAGACAGGGACTTCAGAGTAATTACAATTAGTATGTTAAAGGAGCTAGTGGAAAAGGTAGGCAGCATGCACGAACAGATGGAGGATTTCAGCAGGGGTGGAAACTATACAAGAGAGTCAAATGGAAGTGTTATAAACAAAAAAATGTGATATCAGAAATGAAGAATTCCCTTGACAGGCTTAGCAGCAAACTGATCACAGCTGAGCAAAGACTGAACTTGGAGGGATATAGGTTGAGATTAACCAAACTGAAACACAGAGAAAAAGAATGCAGGGGGTAGGGGCAAAGAAGAGAGCATCTAACACAATTTTCCAAAATTAATGAATGACAACAGATCTAGGAAGCCTGAGAATCACAAGATACCATCCACAGCTCCCTAAAAACACATGTACTCAGATATCATAGTCAGACTTCTAAAAGTCAGTTGTAAAGAGAAGATCTTGAAGGCAGCTAGGAAAAAGGGACACGCTGTGTAAGAGGGATAAATATAAACATTACAGTGGATTGGGGCGCCTGGGTGGCTTAGTCGGTTAAGCGTCCGACTTTCACTTAGGTCATGATCTCATGGTTCGTGCGTTCGAGCCCCACGTCGAGCTCTGTGCTGACAGCCAGCTCAGAGCTTGGAGCCTATTTCAGAGTCTGTGTCTCCCTCTCTCTCTGACCCTCCCCTGCTCACGCTGTCTGTCTCTCTCTATCCTAGAAATTAAAAAAACAAAACAACAACAAAAAAAACATTACAGTGGATTTCTTGTCAGAAATTACATAGGCCATAAGATGGTGGAGTGGCATCTTTAAAATAGTAAAAAAAAAAAAAAAAAAAAAAAAGGTCAATCCAGATATTTTTACCAGAAAGTATCTTTCAAGATTGAAGGTAAATTGACCAGTTAAGTAAATGGGTGATGGATGGTGGGACACAGGTTTCTTCAGTGCTAGAGTGGACATTTAGAGATAAGCCAAGGGAGGAGGCTAGAATGATCCACATAATAGTGATTAGAATTGGAGCTATCAGGGCCACTCGGGTGGCTCAGTCAGTTGACTGTCTGACTTCAGCTCAGGTCATAATCCCGCAGTTACTGAGTCTGAGCCCCCATCAGGCTTGCTGCTGTCACCATGTCAGTGCAGCGCCCACTTGGATCTTCTGTCTCCCTCTGTCTACCTCTCCCCCACTTTAGCTCTCTCAAAAATAAATAAACTTTTTAAAAAATTGGAGCTATCAGTAAGAATACATATTTACCTTAATATAGGTGCAGATGGGTGTGCATAAAAATATCTTTTTTTTTTTTTTTCTAGGAGAGAGAGAGACAGTGTGAGCAGGGAGGGGTCAGAGAGAGGGAGATACAGACTCTGAAATAGGCTCCAGGCTCTGAGCTGGCAGTCAGCACAGAGCCCGACTTGGGGGCCAAACCCACGAACCTCGAGATCATGACCTAAGCAAAAGTCAGACGCTTAACCGACTAAGCCACCCAGGTGCCCCAAAAATATCTTTAGACATGAGTATACACACAGGTTACTCTATACACATATAATTCTTTACTCTGTAAGTAAGAGGACCTGAAAGAAATGACAGCCCACTTGGTGACCAGACCTTGGTTTCAAATACCATTATTCCACGAAAGTAACCAGGACTCCTTGAAGAAGTGGCTGATTCTAAGGCTAAGTCAGGAAATATATAAGATGGGCCTGGAGCATCTTTGTAGTGCCAGAAAGTAGGAAAGTGCTAAAAAAAAATAAATAAATAATGAAAGTGCTAAAAAAATAAATAGGCAAACCAAAATATCCCACCCAAATCCATATTTGGAGATTATGGAAGAACCAGCTGACAGGGCTCCTAATGGCCAAAGCAGGAACAATTTGAGAAATAACATAAATAAAATGGCATAAGATAACAGCCCTAACATAAAATAAATATCCATGAATCCTTACTAATATAAATGATTTATTTATAATGAGTAAATTAAGAATACATTAAGAAATAAGGGAGAAGAGACAAATCTCCCATTCAGAATTCCACCTAATTTAAGCAGGTGCTCTGCCCTCAATGAGAGGGAGCATAACTCCTCATTCCTTACATGTGGGCTTGTGCATAGTGACTTTCTTCTAAAGACTGTGGACAAGGTGGGAGAAGAGGATAACTCTATGGAGATTAAGTAAAGAAATGGAGAAATCTGATAAACACAAGTGCAGCCAGGTGGTCAAGGTCTACAACAAATTTCATAAACCATGTTGCAAGTGTGTACCCTCGGTATGATGTCATGACAGTAGTACTACACTTCCATGATCTTTCTCCCCACAATCTATGAACCCAGTCTATAAATTTCAATGGGGGGGGCATCCTACAATATACCTAGACCAGAATTCTTCACATTAGTCAAGGTCATCAAAAACAAGGGAAATTACAGTCAAGAGGAGCCTACGGGAACATGAAGACTAGAGGTGATACCATATCCTGGATAGGAACTTGGAACAAACATCAAGACAAAGACGAAGGAAACCTGAATGAACTTGAGGTAATAATACTGTATCAACAATACTGTATCAATACTGGTTCTTTAATGTATTTCACTAATATAAAGATGCTAGTAATAGGGGAAATTCTGTGTGGTATACATGGGAGCTCTTCGTATTATCTTTCTCAATTTTTTTTTCTGTAAGTTTAAAATTTTGTAAGAAATAAACTCTGTTCAGAAAGTAGGATGGTGGTTGCCAGGGGCTAAGAGGGCTTACTGTTTCATGGGAACAGTTTCAACTGGAGAGAGAAAGAGTTCTGAAGGTGGATGGTGGTGATGATCACACAACAACGTCAATGTACTTATTGCTGAAGGACTGTATTCTTAATAATGGTTAAGATGGGGGGGGTGCCTGGGGGGCTCAGTCATGATCTCATGGTTTGTGGGTTCAAGCCCTGTGTTGGGCTCTGTGCTGACAGCTCAGAGCCTGGAGTTTGCTTTAGATTCTGTGTCTCCCTCTCTCTGTTCCTCCCCTGCTCTCTCTCTCTCTCCCCCTCCCTCAAAATAAACATTAAAAAATAAAAATTAAAAAAATAATAGTAATGGTTAAGATGGTCAATTGTACTGCAATTGTTGTTGTTTGGTTGTATACTGCACCTCAATAAAAATTTGTTTTAAGCTCATTAAAAAAAAAAAGATGGTGAAAATTGGAGAGCCCAGACTCACCCATGTCCCCTCACTCAGTTCTGGGGGATACAGCTGACTTTCATGCTGTAGGGAAGAGGACAGTCAATGGCTAATTTGACCAAAAGCCTCAAAAGCCTGACCTTGCAAGCAGATGTGGGATTTTCTCCTAGGGAACCCCCTGAGACTTGGTCTGAGTAACTGAAATTAGAACCAAGGTGCATCCGCTCTCTGAGACAACCTGTGACCAGTCCTCGAAGGAGTTCCCAATGCTCACTAACCTGGGAGCCAACTTCAAACATCCACAGCTACATTTCATGACATTCCCCATGGCGGGCTTGATACACACACAAAACAAAACAAAACAAAACAACCCAATGTGGGAAAAAGAAAATTGGTCTCTGTGTACATTTATGTGTGTCATGAGACAGGAGCAGGTACTGTGTGCATGGGCACGTGGATGTGTTTTCTGCACGAATGTGTGTGAAGTTGCAAATCTGAACCTGTGAGTGACGCGTGCAGGCATGTCTGGCCTGCTGGCCAAGAAAGGCTCGAGTTCAAACCCGGCTCCCATGCTGAGAGCTGAGTGATCCTGGGTGAAGCAACTTGTCTGTCCAGGCCTCAGTTTCCATGCTTGTGGCACTGGGCTGATAATAGCTCCCCTGAGGGTTAGACGAGAATGTCAGGTACGATCTTGGGCTCGACAGAGGCAGTTGTGATCACCAGGAGTACGGCGCTATGTGGGAATCTGCCACAGCCTTTCCTGAAAAGCTGGTGAGGATGACTTTTCCCACTTCCAAGCCTTTCCCATCCTGTCTTTCACATTTGTTCCTTGTCCTCCATCAAAACCTGAGGATCACAGCAGGGGAGGGGTTACCTGGGTCTCAGCTCTTAGAGTCATGCTTCCTGAAGCTTCTCCCATCACCTAACAGTTTTCTGTTAATGGGCTGCACAATGGATTTACAGTTAGGCTTGGCTGTCAGTATATCATCCTAGTGAGCTTATTGGTGGCATTTCAGACCAGGTGTCAGGTAGGTACATGGGCCCCATTTTGGGGTGGTAGGATCTGGTTCTTTCTAGAAATCATACCTCCAGCTTAGCTACCTTTGTGGGGAGTTAGGGCAATGTTTTGATGCGAGCATAAAACCCACATGAGTGTTGCTGCCTCCAGGAAGCTGCCTCTGGTTCTCACGACCAATAAGTACTCCCCAGATTCGACCGAAGGCAATGTGGAGACACAGAAGGCTTTGTAAAATGGGGGAACGGCACTATCAGATATATTTTAAGAGGATCACTCTGGCTTCCAGACGAAGACTGGAATGGCAGGGTTGGGAGGTGTCAAGGCCTGAGCTGGGTAGTGACCATGGAGAAGAAGAGGCAGAGCCCCAGCCCACCCTTTAGCCACACAGGCCACTGAGCTCTGCCTTGGGGTAGGGTTTACCTGGACCTGCCTGTCTGCGGCCCAGGAAGGGTCCTAGCCCAATCCCAGCAAGTGTGCAGTAGGGCTGTCAGTCCAGAGCAGGCCCAGTGTGGTGTCCACAGGCAGCTGGAGAGACAAGGGCCAGCCTCTGCCAGGAACAGCATCCAGCCCCAGTGTTGGAGAAAGCCAGGGGGCATCTGGCCATGGCTACCGCTAGTCCTCCTGTAGGAAGCTGCTGCCCGCCACAGGAGGAAGGCACGGCCAGCCCTTCCTGACCAAGTGTGTCCTGTGGGAGGCAGAGGCATCCCTGGCTAAAGCCAAGTGTGGAGGTGCCAGCCCACCTGCTGCTGTGTCATGACAGGGTACCCTGTCTTCGGCTACGCTGAAGGAAATCTCACTGTGCGTACAGGATGCCAAAACAAGCATGAGCAACGTGCTCAGGGGCCCCAGAGCAGGAGGGCCGATGACCTGATGATGACATGTCTGACATAGCAATTCTGACACCCAGCTGGCTTCAGCCTCCACACTCAGCACACTCTCTGCCCAGGCCCTCGTTTAATCTCACCGACCCTGTTCCAATCTTCCAGCTGCGCTGGGTGGCTCTCTGTACTCTAACGTGACCTACACTTCTCCATCTCCACACCTCTGCCCAGGCCAGCCCCTCTTCCTGGCACATCCTTCCTCTCTCTGCCTTTGAGGTGTGTGCCCTCCCCATGGGGGCACCTCCCATGTCATTTCCTCTCACAGCCCTGGCGGGGAGGGACGGCTCCCTCCTCTGAGCCATGTGGTATTTTCCCTTTCCCTCGTAAGGCTTATCACGTCCACATACTTACTGCTATGATTTCCTCCTGGGGTTCATGTCTCACCTCTGTATTTCCAATCCCTAACACAAGGCTGACACGGAGTAGGCATCCATAGCTGTGGCTCCCCTACCCCTCTCCTCCCTGTGGATGACACGCTGTAGGGATGCTCTATGTATCCGCCACGGCAGAGCTGGGCAGCTGCTCCGCACACGTACCACCATCACTCCTGCCTTGGCCCGGGGAGCCCATCACTGCTCGGTCACCAAACTCCTTCTCCCTGAGCTAGGACTCAGCCTCAGAACCCTTCTCGACACAAAGCTCTAGCCTATCTACAGTTTAGTGGAACGGAAAATCTGTGGACACAAGTGACCAAGGGAGCCACCTGAACAGAGTTGGGACATAAGACAAAGTTGGCCTTCCTTAGCAGAAAACTAGTAAACACAGGATCAGTGTCCAACAGTCATGTGCTGGCAGAAACAACTGTGCACTCAGACCTCACGGGTTCTTGTGGACGAGTGGTTTTCAACCTTTTGTGAGCAAAACATTTACCTAGAGCGCTTGTTAAATGCAGGTCCCTGGACATGACCCCCAGGTGTTCTGACTGAGAAGATCTAAGGTGCATTAGGGATCAGACCATGGTCTGGATATTACTTAACCACGTTTGACAAGGGTGTAGCCTCCCCCTCACTATCCTAATGGTGACCCAGAGACCCGGACAGGAACACGCAGTACCTGAGGCTACACAGTAAGTGTCAGGGCCAGAACTCAAGGGCCAAGGACTCTACAAGGTCCCACAACACAGGGGGTTGCCTGCAGCACCTCCAGGAGTGGAATACCACAGGGCAGACCCTGGCAGGTCAGGGGAGGTGCTAGACCTGAGCCCCAGGAAACAGACTTACCCCTTGCTCCATGCTGTCATTGGCACGGTCTGTGATTTTGGAGATGAGGGTAAGTGCACCTGTGGAGGGAAATAGAGAAGACAGCCGGGCTGTGTGGGGAGAGCCAGTCCAGGAGTACCATCCTCTCCTCCTCCTCATCTTCCGTTCTCTCCCCACTGACCCCCAAGATCACTACAGTTGCAGGGCCTTGTATGTGGGCGGCACCAATTTTTTTCCTATGGCTGGGTCAGGTCACAGGTCCAACCCTAGCTTTACTACCACTGCCTAAGTGACCTTGACAGTGATTTGATCACTTTGTGCCTTAGTTTCCTTGGCTATAAACTGAATGTTAAAATAGGGACTGTCCTGGCAGGTTCCTAGAATTGGGAGGAACAGGGACATTGTGGTGACTTTATACCTGGCACCGCCTCCTATCACCAAACACTGATTACCCCTTCTCCTCTGACTGGATGACGGCCCATCCCTGGGAGCCCTGTGGTTGAGGTGAGCGGGGAATAACCGGAAGCCCCTGGGGTCTCATGTCCACTGTACATCTAGCTACCAGGGAAGGGGACATGCCCTGGGCCTGAAACTGCTGTAGAGTCCAGAGCTTGGGGACAGGGGCCAACGAGGAATGTGTCCCCATACTCCAGGTTCATGCTGCACTTACCCTGCGTGTTATCGTACTCAGCTGAGTCCGGACAAAGGTTGTTTAAATAGTCTGCAGGTAGAACAAGAGCCAGGGGTCAGTCTGCCCTAGAGAGGCCAGCCCCTCCTGTCCACAGCAGGAGCCCCCTGTTTCTAGACTTGGAAGACAAGGGCCAGAAGAATGGGGTATGCACCCCCTCACCCTTATTAGCCCACCACAACACCACACTAGGACAAAACCAGGTCCCTGGACCATCATCAGCATCACTGCCACCACTGCTAGCCATTCACTCATTCAACAACTATTGAGCGCTTGCTGCGTGCCTGGCACTGTGCTATGCCCTCAGGATATAGACAGTGACAAAGTGAAACCCTGCCTCTGAGAAGCACACTATCTGCTGGGAGAACAGATGCAACCGTCAACACAGTGGTATATGACATATTAACCCTTTAACACGTTTATACCACAGGGTCTGTGTGGGCTGGCTGTGTGTGTGTCACTTACTCCTTCTGGCAATGCCGGCACTCTTACTATTTCTGGAACATGCTAAACCTGTTAATAGCCCCAGGGCCTTTGCACTCACTATTCCCTCTACTTGGTAGTCTCTTCTTCCAGATCTTCATAGGGTTCATGTCCTCACTTTGCTGAGATTTCTGTACCATGTTACCTCCTCAGACAGGTCCTTCCTGAGTGCTGTATCTAATTCAGGGCACTAATTACCTCCATTCCCTTGAACACCTTTATTTTCTTCAGAGCTCTTACCACAGACATATCATATTCTTATTTCCTTGGTAGTACAAACTCCACAGTGTCACAGAGTTTTGGCTGTTTAATGCACTATTATACCTCCAGCATCTAGCATGGGGCCTGGGATATAGTAGATGCTCAGAAAACATATGTTGAATTAGATGAACGAATTCTGTGCCTCTTGGCCCTAATGTACTTTCCTTATGGCCCTGGTCACTATCTGGAATTACATGCATATCTCTACATGTGGGCATCTGTCTCCCCACTGGAATAGCAGCCCACCAGGCCAGGGACTTTGTCCATTTGGGAGGCAGTTGGGTAAGTGTCTTGACAGAGGTGTGGTGCTTCTGGTGGGTGGAGGTAGGGGAGTGGATGCTATTCCCTGAGGAGAGTTTGTAAAAAGGAAAGGAAGGAAAGAGGACTTAGGGCTGAGGCCTGAGAAACACTGGCATTTATGTATGGGGACAGTGGAGGAAGGGAGGTTGTCAACACAGAAGGGAAGGGTAGTCAGAGAGGTCTGAGGGAGGCAGGGAGACAGTATGTCACAGAAACCTCAGGAGGAGAGGCTTTCAAGAAGCAGCAAGTGATCAGTGGCAAAGCCACAGAGATGGCCACAGTGGGTCCAAGATGGAAAATGTCCACTGATTTCGCCCCAAGAAGGGCTTTGGTGGTAAGAGGAGATCTAGGGAAATGAGACACCGGTTGAGAAAATGCAGAACAGGGGAAGGGATGAGTTCATGTGTTTAGGATGGGAGAGGCTGAAGGAGGACATGGAAGGCAGCCACTGAAGCCAGGTTTCCAGGCGGCGGCAGAGGGTCCAGAGCGTAGCCAAAGGGAAGACGGTGGCAGAGTCTAGCAGTCTGGAGGGTCAGAGGCCAGGAACCGGGAGCAATCCCCACCCCTACCCGCTCCCGCCATGGTGGGAGGGGAGGGTGTGATGACATAGCTTGCCACCATCAGCCGCACCCCTCCTCAGCTGCCCTCCCCACCTCCCCACACCACCTCAGTGCACCCTGACCTCCTGCGGGGCCCACCTGTGAGGAGCACTTGGTACTGGAAGAGGCGCTGAACCACCCGCAGCAGCCGGTGCTTCACGCTCGGGCCACCTCCTTGCTGACTCTGCTGCTCCCAAGAGACAGGGAGGACAAAACTCTGTCAGAGACCCCTGTCTCAGGGCACCAAGCTACAGCATCCCTCATATACTGTCCCATCCATACCTCTTCCTGGCCACACTGAACTTCTCCCCCATCTTTAAAACCAGGTTCCCTTCCTCCAGGAAGGCCTCCCAGATTAGCATCACCCTGCTGTGACCGTTCATTCCTTCAGGCTCACAATCAGTGCTATATTCAGTAACATACATCTCCTAGTCTCTGTTGCATCTAGTATTAGTAAAAGGAAAAAAGCCCCCGTTTTTCCTGTTCAGTAACTGGATCCCCAGTTAGGGACCATTTGTTGGTCATTCTAATGGGTGTGGCTCCAGCTAACTTTGTGCTTTTCTCCTGGGACAGGAGAATGGCCACTAAACTCTCACCCTCATAGAGGCTCATGGGGTTGTCATCAATTGCCCAACAGGAAATGTTCTGGGTTCTAGGTATTTCCTCCTTCTGGGTCACCCTCTCCTCCCCGAGCCAGGTCTTTCCCTCTGACCCTCAGCCTCAGACTACCAAGAAGCCCCACTGATATTCAGGAAGCCCTTCCATGCCTGCCCCACCCCTGTATCCTTAGAGTAGATTCTTGGAGGATCAAGGCACCCACCTCAAACTCACGGACAGCAGCTGCCAGCCGGGGGGAGTGCAGGCAGTTCTCACTGAGTAGACTCAGACACCTGTCGAACTGCAAGATGTGGGCGGCATGGTGGTCAAACTCCTGCTCCCGGGCCAGGAAGACATCGGCCACCTGCTGCTGGTCCTCCCTGCAGCCGGGGAGGAGGATGGGACAGCGAGAACTCAGCATTGTGACCAGCACCGGGTTAGTTGGTGAGCGCTGGTCACATCATTGGGTGGTGAACCCAGCTTGACCCTCCCACACTCGTTTTACTTTGGGCAAATGACCTAACACCTGCATCTCGACCTCTGCATTGGTCAAATAGAGACAGAGTTCACTTGGTGAGGCTTTAACCACCCATTCCCCCAGTGCAATAGAGGTAGGGGCAGGAGACCATGGACAGCTCACCAGTGCAACAGCCTCTCCCTGAGCTCCTCCAGGATCCCCTGGTGAAGGTCTCGGATGGCTGGGAGTTCACTCAGGCCGTGCCTCAGCTCCTCCCTGGCCAATGTGTCCTTGTTCTCTTGGTCTATTTCATCCAAGGCCCTCATGACAGCTCCGTGGAAATCCTGAAACCCCAAAGTCCTGTTACCCACTGTTGACAGGACTGAGCACACGTCCCCTGTGGCTCTGAAGCCCTGGCCTATGCACATATAGCACAGGACCCCAGGCCAGCATCTCAGACCCCAGCCTTCTCACCTGTAAAACAGGAGTGATAACACACACCTGGTGATCACAGGCGACTGATGCCCGAAGAGCACCCACCACAACTCCTGGTGCAGCGGAGGCTTTCAAGAAGGTTCATTCCTGGATGTGGGTCATGCCCTTCTGAAAACCCTCTGAAGAAGTACAAAGCTCTGCTCTACCATTATCCATCTTTCAAAAGGTTCATGCACTGTGTTGTTTTAAAACAAAGTCTAAACAAATCACAGGCACCCAATCCATGGTGTGTTAAGCAGTCACTGACAATGATGCAGACAGTGCCTATGTAAAAATACTCATGTCCTCGAGTTAGGACATCAAGAAGAGATACAAAGTTGTCTTTCCACCTGACATGGTTGTCCAAAAAGAGGAACAAAGGAAAAAGCTGAAAAGAAATGGAGTGAAATGTAAACAGTGGCTGTGTCAGGCATAAGATTAGGAATGTTTTTTTTCTTTTCTGTTCTCTAAAATTTCTGTATTGTGATTAATTACCTTAAAAATTCAACTAAATTTAATGAACACTAAAATTATAAAGAATGCAACACCTTTCTCACAGCAACAAAAAAATTCATCTTCAAATACCCACTCATGCATGAGCTCCAGGTCTATAGTTTTAATTATATGGAATACACTGAAAGCACCTTGAATTGTGGAACAATACACATGAGGAAAACCTCAGCATCAGAGGTCATGTGGTCCAGCCCAAATCAAGGTCAAATCACCTTCATAACATTCAGGAAGCATGCCCACACTGCCTGTTTGATTGCCTCCCTGACAGAGAACTCATTAATGAGCAAGACAGTTAATTCCACTGCTGAGCAGTTTTTATTGCTAGAATGGTCTCTTTACACTGAGATCTGAAAGGGGAAAATGCCTGAGAGGATGAGCAGCCCCTCCTTCAGGAAGTCTTTCTGGTCTTCTCCAGAAAAAGAGTGCAGAAGAAGGGGAGGGCTGGGGGAAAAAGTGGGGAAGTAGGACAGGGCTAGAGAGAAAGACAAAAGGAGAGAGAAAGAAAAATGAGAAAGTAGAGAGAAAGAGAGGGAGAAAGAGGAGAAAGCCAGAGGGTGGGAAGCAAGGAAGGGACTGATGGACAGCAGGACACAGAACCCTCCAATATCTGTAAAGAGGCTGTCAGACAGAGGCCAGCAGGTGTGGGGGTGACAAATGTCTCTGAACACCTCCTCCAGACCACAGTTGACCTCCTGGTGCTGTAACCTGCCTGCAGGGGGTGCTAGTGGAGGAGGACAAGGAGAGGGCACCACTCTCCCTGGCTTGTGGTCCCAAGGAGGGAGAATGAGCTGGCTCCTCCTGAGGCCAGCCCTCATGGCCCCAGTCTGGTGCAACTGGAAGACTTCAGGACACCTCTAGCCCTGTCACTGAGGTCAGAAACTCAGGGTTGAGTCTTCAATAATAAATGGATTCTCTGGCTGAAGGCATGTATGTCTTTAAGTGGAGACCACATGCCAAATCAAATCCCTTTGTATCTAAGCTATCAGAACCTTTCCTGAAAGCACGTGTCAGAGGGTGGAGAGTGTGGACTACAAATGAGAGGTAAAGGGAGGTGGTGTTCAATTCTTATTTCTGCCCACAGTGGGTTCTGGGACACTGGGGTCATTCTGAACCTGGAGAGGGGGTTTCTCTGCTGACCCAAAGGCAGGAGAACCCTCCCACTCTTCTTCATGGGTCTCCATGGTTAAGACCCAGGCTGCAGCCCCACAGGCTCTTCCCAGCCCTGGCATCCCAGAGAAAGAAAGAAAACGTCCTGATGAAGAACAATAATTCCTCTTGCTTGGGCAGCTGGTTGAAGGACTTTCAACACATTGTCATTAGCTCTGTGCCAGGTTCAAGCCCAGCTATACCAGCAGAGTAGCTGATGACTATGGGCAAGCTGTCTCACCTATCTGAGCCTCATTTTCCTCATCTGTAAAATGGAAATAATGGTACCACTAAGTACAGCATGAAGCCACTGGGAGGTTCATCCTGATGCTGAAAACTGCTTTATAAACTGTAAAGTGTTATCCCCATGGCAACTGTGATCATATTTTAGCTATGACATCTTCAGAGTAGAGTTACATCTGTTTTGTTTCCTGCTATGTTTCTAAAGTTCAACAGAGCATGTGACACAGAGGAGTTTTATTATACTTTATTATATTATACTGATTGAAAGACCTTTATTTAACAGAGAAGGAGAGTGAGCCAGAGGGGAGCTAAGACTGCAATCCAGTCCCACTGCAGCCCAGACCACCACAGAGAGGGGGAGAGGGAGAGGGCGAGGGAGAGAGAAAGCACAAGCAAAGACAAGACTGATGGCTGCATGTGTGTCACACCCCAGGGAGCTAAGATATTAACCGCTCTGCAAGCTAGTTTCTCATCTGTAATTAATTCTCACTAAATTGACTAAGTCCCAATGGGCAGGATGGCCATCATCAACATGACTCATTTCAAAAACTGGAGTATAATTGGACTTGCCACAAACATCCGTTCTTAAAACTCATGCATCAGCTGGAAGCACCAATGGCCTGTCTCACCATCCATCACTCCCTGAAAGGTTTCTGCTGTCCCAATAGTTCTGGCCATCACTGCACCTGGGGGCTCTCAGACAGAGGAAGGAGGCAGGAGATACCTAGCCCTGGTCCCCTTATTCATTCAACAAATAGAGAGTGACTGCTCTGCACCAAGCCCTGAGGAGAGAGTGGGAGCAGGAGATACTGTTCTGCCCTCAAAGAGTTTGCAATCTAGAGGAAAAGAAAGGAGTAAAAACACAATTTCAACACAGAGGCATCAGTACTATGATGGGGAAAGGCACAGAGGCTGTGGCAGGCCATGAGAGGGAGGCTTGACTTAGCTCTGGGAAAGCATGCCAGGAAGGCAACAACTCCTCTGAGATAGGAGGGGAGTGTTTCAGGCAGAGGAGACAGCATGTGCAAAGGCCCTGAGGTGAAGAAGGAACTAAGTTTAAATGTGTCTTGGGTGCAGTGTGTATGTACATGTGCATGTGTACACCTTGCAAGAAGTACACAGGACTGGAATACGATGGCAACGAGGGTTAGACAGATGACCCATCATACAGGGCCCTGCAGGCTTTTAAAGACACTTGGGTTTCATCCTGGGGTGACGGGGAGCCACTGGATCAAATATCAATCTTAGAAAATTTACATTGTTGGGAGAACAAACTGGAGGTGGCCAGAATGAGAGCAAGATCAGTGAGAAGGCTGCCACGGTCATCCAGGAGAGAGGCCCAGACCCAATGGTGGCCACGGGGACAGAGAGAGGGGATGGACTAGAGATAATAAGGAAGAAGAACTGAGTGGCCACAATGCCTGCAGGATCCAATCCAAAGCCCCTTGGGCATGAGAGGCCTTCCTGATCTGGTTCCCCTTCTCACCATGACCACTTGCCGGCTCTCTGGAGCCCCTGCTCCAGCCTTAAAGCTTCTAGGCCCCAAGCCAAGGCCTAGAAAACCCAAATGAGTCCTTGTCAGTCTGGAGAGTTGCAAATGTGTGACCCTGGGCAAGTCACTTCATCTCTATTGACCTCAATTTCCCCCTCTGCTAAATGGGGATACAAATACCTTCTTCCCAGTGTTTGTGCATATTGCCTTCTGCTGTGTTTAAGGATTATTTGTTTTCATGCCGCCCTCTCCCAAAGACTTAGTTTTACTTATCTCTGTAAACCCAGCACCCTGCACAGGGAAGGTGATCAACACACGACAGCAGCCAACATTTACTGAACACTCACACCATGCGAGCCATGTGTGCTCCACACTACGTTCACTTTCTCATCTAACCCTCAAAACAACTCTCTCAGTTCGGCACTATTACTATTTCTATTTTACCAATAAAATACTCAGGACCAGAAGGACTAAGTAAATTGCCTAATGTCATCAAGATGGCAAGATCTGAGCCCAAGTCAGCCTGACTCCAAAGTCGTAGCTCTCTTACAGATTGCCCAGACAGGGGGTGACTTGCTAAGGTCAAGGAAGGGGACTAGAACTTGGTTCTTGAGTGCTGGCCGGGGCTCCTGGCATAATCTCAGAGACCCTGGGGCAGCTTGGTGGAGAGGCCCAAGTGTGAGGACTGCCTCTCTGCTCTGGAGCCCAGACAAGTTTCCTGGAGCTCACAGGTTCTCAAGACCCTGTCCTGGGCTAGTGTGCCGTGGAAGCTAGGACCTCACATGAAGGGGCCTAGTCCCTTGGCCCCTTTCTCTCTTCTCCAAACTCACTACTGAGTTTTCTAGGCAACACAGTACCTCCATTCTCTGAGCTAAACACTTGGTGGGTGGCCAAGGTCCTCCTTGCAAGTAGTCAAACCACTGATGTTGCCACCAAAAGTCAAGTGGACTCACTGGGATCCCATTTGGCCAAACGCACACCAACCTCAACCACGACCCACCTGTGTCACAAACATGCCCTGGCAGGCCATGAGCTGTCCAGTAGACATGACTTCACCTGGCCTGGTCAGTCAGGGAAGGGTACTTTGGAACCGTGAAAGCAGTTCTGTGAGGGGCACACAAACACTTCTTAAGCTGTATACAAAAAGTATGAACTACACAGAAAAATAAATAAGTTGGACTTCATGTTAACAGATGAATATGGCAAAAGGGAATCTGACTGTTCTATGTACTATTCCTATTCGTGTTACTTTTCTGTAAAACTGAATATTTTTAAAATAGAAGTTTAAAAAAATCATTGAAAAGGTAAGATAAAAAGGGAAAAATACTTAGAAACAAGTTTAACCAAAGAAGCATAGAACCTACACTCCCAAACAACAAAACTTCATTGAAAAAAATTAAAGAAGCCCTAAGTCAATGGAAAGAAGTCTCATATACACAGCTTAATACTGTTAAGAGGTAACAGTCCCCAAGCTGA